GTTACCTTCAGAGACGTGTGCTCGACAGTGCAAGATACACGTTTCTTAAATCTTTTATCTGATTGACTAACGCTAGTTTGCAGATATCGACGTTACAAGAATGATTTAGGATTGCAGAACGTTCTGAATCATTCTCCGTCCCTATCGATACTTTGACTTTTATTTTTGAAACTTGCATTTCTCCAAACTCAGTCAAAGTGGGGGATTTTGTAGACACCCATTTGTGTCTCCCCAAAACCAAACCCAGTGATGAGTACCTTTCACGTCGAATCATAATCAAATGAGGTGAAAGTGTGGAAAGTTTAGTGTTGCGGATAGTTTCTAATTTTTCTCTTTTTTAAAAACCTATTTTAAGAAACAGCCAATCCAGTTTGGTTTGGTCCATCGCAAGGGTCCAATAATGGTATAGTTTGATGGGGCTTGAAAAGAGCTTTCCAACGATATATTATAAGCCCAATTTCGATGAATAATGAGGAAGTTATGGGCAAATTACTAAACTGGGCCCGGTTTGATCTTTATATGTGGCCCAATGATCTAGAGGAGGGCTAATATGGATTTATCATTCCTAATGCAATTAGAATTGATTTTAGTATTCTAGATTTTTCTGTAAGGTTCTTTTCATTCCTAATTCAATTAGCATTGATAAATTGACTTTGGTTGACTTTTTAGAGTTTTAATCAGAATAAAAGAAGTGTTTTTAAGGAAAATACAATTTTGCCCTTCTATACGGCTAAATTTTATCAAAATTAAGAAAACGCGTGAAAACGACTATTAGCACCTGACACCATGCGCTAAAGGCTAGCGCCTGGCGCTAATGTTCAGCGTTTGGCGCTAAAGTTTTTTTATTCTCGTCGAAACTCTGCTTCGTTTCTTTATCACATCCGGTTGGTTTTCTCTATAAATAGCCTCCTAAAACCTCCGTTTTCAATCATCAACAACTATCAATTCTTCTCATCAACTCTCAAATTCTCTTCTCTCTCTAAGCTAAAGCTTATTTTCTCTCTCTCTTTTCTAAACTAGCATTCCTCAAATAAAATTCCGCATTCACAAGATCTAGAAACACCTAGCCAAATTTGAAGTTGTCTTCGCCCTAGACGTGAAAGGTTTTAATTTCTGAGGGTTTGGTCCCAAATCTCTATTTCAATTATTTGACTTAATTGTTGATTTATATTTTCCTTGAAGTTACTAACGTGTGTATTTTGTTATTAGAAAGAGGTATGAGGCATCCAAGTAAGTGCTTTAATTGATTTATTGATTTTATGATATAGAAATCATGCTTAGATTGTTATTTTGATTCCTAGTATCATGTTAGGATGTTTTATTGATTCCTAGTATCATGTATAGGATGTTCCTAGTATCATGTTAGGATGCTTTCTTCAGTATGATATTTAGGGTGATTTTCTTATATCAATTATGATCCCGCGATGCTTCCTATATTCTTTTCTAATAGCATGTTAGTATCATGTTGGGGCCAAAGCTTTGATCTTTATTATTTAGTGACATGCTATAGTTTGTTATTAATCTTGTTAGTATCATGCCTAGTATCTTGCTATTATTATGATTTAACATGATTATTTTATGATAATGATTATAATTATGATTATGATTATTATTATTCTTATTATGTTTCTTGATATTTATTGCTTGATCACGCCTTTTATGCATGTTTAAAGGGAATTGGTACTTGTAATCAAGCTTAATAAGATAATTAATAATCTTATTTAGGGTTAATTTGATTATAATTCAAGTGATCGCCAATAATAGTTTATTTGTGCATTAAATTCAACCAACATAGATAAACAGGTTTAGGGTAAACCTATTGCTTGCATGTTAGTCAGAAAGAGCACATGAATACGATCAGAATAACATAGAGGCCTATTATTAGGGCAGGTTCAATCTCTTTTAGGTTGGATTTGTACCTTCATCCCCGAACTACCAGTCATGGTTCCAGACCTATTGGAGTTGACGATCTCTTGGATCGTTAAGGGGTGTAACCTTCACCTCGTGAATGGTTTACAAGTTACTAAAACTTGTTGGAGACGCTTTTGCTCTATCTTCTTTCCCTTTGGACGCCACCGTACTTTAGTGTATGATCACAGTAGGGTTCAAGCTAGGGGTAATGCTTGAAATATTCCCTACAGTAGATAAGTTCGTATGCAAGGGTTCTCACATGATCGTGTATTACAAGATACAAGACCAATATATCACACAATCATTTAGTATTAGGCACACAACCATGCATTAGATTGTTGTACAATAATGATTCTTCAACCAAAGAAGAGCAAACTTCTTCGGTTGCATTACTTACTCCAACAATCTGGATGCTCAATTGTATTTGTCAACTCGTTAACACTATACACCACTCTCATTCAAAGGCCATGCAATTTTGGAGTCAGAGGTTGGAGTCGCATAAACTTAAATTTGTTTAAATAGAGTTGTGTTTAACTTATTTGTTGTGTATATTGTCTGAAGATGATTGCAAGAAAATGTAATTCAATAAGTGTGTATTAAAGGGTATGTACAACATACAAGCAAGTATCCTCCCAACAAAAATAGTATTCAAAATAAAGAAAATTATTTACAATTTTGGGAATAAGGCTTTGTTGTTGTAAATAAAATAAATAAAATAAAATAAAATTAACAGCCATAAACAAGCTTTAAATATGGGAGTTGCAATGCAGGCTAGAAATTAAATCAAAGGAAGAAAAAGAGTCATTAGGTTTGTTGTCACACATATGAGCTCGACTGGGTGGGAAAGCTACTTAATTGATTTCATGTTGCTTTCACGTCCGATCGCACGAACAAATCAACAAATGAACTAGATTAAGCTAGCATTCATAACTAATCGGGTGGGCTTGACCGACATGGCTAGAGTGCAGCGGCCAGCTATTCTTACCTCACATTACAATATCTTTCTTTTTCTTATCCTTTTAGAGTGTAGCGGCCAACTCATTTTAAAAAAAGCTTTACATATTCTAACTAGCATTCTTTTTTTTTTTTTTTTCGCATTTCTATCTAACAAATAATTAAGAATTTAATGAGTGTCTAAGAGTGTTACATAAATTTCTTTTTTAAAAAATTAAAGAAATGACATTATTTTTGAAATACATGTTAAAATCACGCATTAATCTAAACAAAGAATGTAGGACGTTCGAGAGCTTTTAACAAACGAACAAAAAAGAGACAATCCCACCGCTAAAAAAAGTTTATCTCTCTATGATAGTTGTACTCGTTCTTATCCCACCACTAAAACCAAACTTTGCACCACCTTATTGCTCGCAAGCGACCTGCACCCCTGGTCTTTTCCCTTCGATCGCTGGCGAGTGGTCCCCTGCACCTTGGTGGTTGGCGCTATCGGTCTCCACGGTTTACCTCCAATTATTTGCGGGATCAACATAAGGGTCATGGTTCGAGGTGGCTTTAGTTGTTGTTTCCGGGAGCTTAGAGGTGAGGTGGTGGTTGTTTGATATTGCTTAGTTATTTAAGTTTCATCTTCTTTAGTTTGGTTGGTTTTTTACGGTGTTTTGTTTTGGGTCTTTGGTTGTTGTTGGCTTCCCTTCTTCTAGTTTTTTGGTAACTTTTGGTGAGCCTTGTATGTGGCTAGGTATGTAATTAGGTGAAGTGGGTGGTTAATCCTATAGGAGTTCTGTGTGGTTTATTAGGTTGTTTAGTAGATGGATTTGTGTCCTGCTTTTGCTGAGTTCCATCTTCGTGCTAAGTTTAATGGCAAGCGCGTTATTCGTATCCTTGATTTGTTGGCTTGTCCTGATGATGTTTTAGTCCGTTCTAAAGTTTTCAAGGAGGAAGGTAGTTCCTTGTTCCGGGAATGCAAGTTTAAGCTTGCTTTTTCCAAGTATGATTTAGCGAGTAAAGTATTATGTTTTAGTTTGCCTTCATTCCAAGAGACATATGCTATGTTTTGGTCTTTGGCCTTAACTTTATATCTCAATTTGGTTGCTTGTGCCCTAAAATTACAGGAGTTTGATTCTATAATTAAGTTATGTTCGTTTGTGTTGAGGTATGATTCTTGTCATACAAAAGGTTTGTTTAGGAGAGCTTTGGCTTTTAAGAGGTTAGTCGATCTTCTATCCGCCAAATCTGACCTTTGTAAGGTTCTTAATAGTGATTATTCGAGGAATGTGGAAGTGTTAAAAGAATTACAGGAGATTGAAAGTCTTTTAGGTTGTGCCTCTTCTATAACTCTCACTTTTTGGAAGTTGCTTCTCCAACCAATCAGGTTGTTTGTGATATTGAGGTCATTCCAGGGGAGTTACCTAGCGCAGATCACATGGACTGTGATGTTGTAAGTCCTGTTAGTGGAACTCCTCCGATAGTGTCAAATGAGACGACTTTTCATGATTTGGATAGGGAGTCTACTTCGAAATCAATGTAGTTGGATAATGGTTTACATTAGCATCGGTTTCGATCCTGTGGTTGTTTCGGTTCATCTCGTCAAATTGCATCATCTAATTTGCAGTGTCTTAAGCACAGTGAAGTGCTTAGTTTTTATCATTCTAGGTTTATGTCGGTAATGTCCGTTCGGGTTATCCCGAGTAAAACTTAAATCTTGACAGAGATTCGCTTAGGTGAAAAATCTAGGGAAGTAGAGACTTCTATTCCTTCGGTTCTTCCTTTCCGTGGCTCGGAGCACCAAGCGGTTCCTACTTATCAGGCCTTGAGTGCTTCTTCTCAATCGTCCACAGTTGAGGCAGCTGCAAATCAGGTTTCGGAAAAGTTAATCAAGCCATCAATATTACAAGGTCATCTGCCAAAAAAGGAAGCTTCTCAGGGGTTTATATGCAGTCATCAGGGTCTTAAGTTTTAAGTTCTACCTTTGCCTTCCATGGTCTCATCTCGTCTGAATCATCAACAACGAACTATTTCTCATTCTCTTCTTCGGACGTCATGTAAGTGGTTTTATGATAGGATGCTTGTAGGTTGCAGGGCAGATCATGTGGGCTCAAAGCGATGTCCAGCTTCGTCTTTGCCTCTTGATCTGGAGTCCAGCAAGTTAACTCGTGTGAAGCGCACTCACATTGGTCCTTCCTGGGTTTTGTTAATTAATGTTGTTATAGTCGTCTTGTGTGTTTTGTTGTATTGTTGTTTTATTTATAAGATCCTCTCGTAAAAAAAATAAAAAAAAAATAATTCAGGGTTCTTAATAATAAGATCAAGAAACCCGACAAAGTGAACGCGATCCAACTCATTTATTATAAGAGTTGAGTTAGTGTTTTAAGCCAATTAACTCAAAGTGTTTAAGACTGTGTGTTGACACTCGTCTTCATAGTCCACTAATTATACTCTCCCATCCATAAACCGCTTTCACTTTTCTCTTTCTTCTCTTCTCTTCTCTTCTCTTTCTTCCCCAACTCTCTCTCTCTCCTCCAAATACAGTTAAGCAACAAACCCTTCAACAATGGCAGAATTCACAAAATACCAATTAGTCCCAAACAATAACAACATTACTACAGATTTTAAAGGCTATTTCTCTCTTTTCAAAACCAGAAAAACCTCTGCTTTTGTTTATGGAGTTGTCTTTGTTTTCATTGCTTTCACTGTTTTCTTAGCCTTTTCTCCTTCTTCTTCAACCAATACTTCTTCTACTTGGTTTTTCAATTATTTTACTCTTAATTCTACTTCTCCCCCTAATTTTACTGATCAATCTCCCAGATCTGATTTCCCCTCTAATTTTTCTACTAAAATTAATTCTTCTAGATCTCAAAATTTTGATTCATTTCAATCACCCTTTTCAAATTTTACAGATAATTTGACAGATACCCAACTTCCTCCTGATAAAGTTCAAAACTTTAATCCTAATTATACTGATATTATTCCCCAAATTACCCCAAATTTGCCTCAAATCCCCCCAGAAATCTCTCCAATTTTACCAAAACAAGATGATAACATAAACCCCACTAATAATACTGATTACCCAAAAAAGCAAACAAATCAGAGTAGTGTAATTCTTCCTCAAATCTCACCAAAAATTTCCCCTGTTTCTGAAAAACAGAGTAATCACAGTACTAGTGTAGTAGCATCTCCCCCTCAAATCCCTCCAATTACACCGAATTGGAGTATCGAAACGATAACGAATTCGACGAGTGCGAAAGGAAGTGGGGAAGAAGGGAAAGATTTCCCAACTTCATTGCCAAAGAAAGAGGATAATAATAGTAACAACAGCAGTCACAGTGAAAACGGTGTCGTTTCAGGGGAAGTTCAAAAACAGGGGAATGAAAAGAAGAGTTTGGTTGCATCATTGATTGGTTGTGATTTGTATGATGGTGGATGGATTAGAGATGAATCATACCCGCTTTATAAACCCGGATCATGTAAACTAATTGATGAACAATTTAATTGTTTTCTGAATGGTAGACCTGATAATGATTATCAAAAGCTTAAATGGAAACCTAAAGGTTGCACATTGCCTAGGTAATTTTTTTGTTGCTTAATCATTTAATTTAATTTAATGTCCTCTTTATTTTGGTACATTTTCTAAGTAGATTAATTACTAATTTACCTTTTTTGCTTCATATGATATGATTTTATTTGGTATGACATTGAATAAGTTTTTTCCATAAATGTTCTGAATGTGTGATATGACTACATGAGTATGTTCTTTATCAAATTTGGGGTTTTGGTTTCAGTTTCAGATTTAATTTAAAATATTGATGCTAGATCATAAATTGAGGTTAATGGGAATAGGGGATTTTTTTTGGCGGTTTTGGATGTATTTGATTTTTCTTGAATTTTATACATTAACTTTTTTTTTTTGAAGCAAAATTTTATACATTAACTTAATTTTATACATTAACTTGATTAAGTTAATGTCTATGAATTCATCAGTAATTATGATTTTTTGGAGACTTTAATTTTTGTGCAACAGATTATGAGGGAAAATCTCATTGTTGGCATATATTTTGATTGATATATTAGAGCTTTTGTATATCTTGTTCCTGAAAATTCGATCTACCTTGATTTTTGAAGGATTAAATGTGGACTTTTGACTAATAATGTTAAAAATTGAATTTATTTTGACTGAAGTTCAATAGTCTATTGATTTTCATTTAATTTCAATTTGAATTGTGGACATGTTTGCTTGGATTGAGTTTAGTAAACTTGCTGAAGTATTCAAACTACTTGACCATATCTATCTTTTTCAACTGAAACCACTTAATCTGTTAATCACCGACGCTTTATTTGGATTAATATAATTTCTACAGATTGGATGGAAGGAAAATGTTGAAATTATTGAGGGGAAAGCGACTAGTTTTTGTTGGAGATTCGCTAAATCGAAATATGTGGGAATCCTTGGTTTGCATTCTTAAGAACTCGGCTAAAAATCCAAAGAACGTTTATGAAGCTTCTGGCAGGCATTACTTTCGGAATGAAGCTTCTTATACTTTTGTATTCAAAGTAAGCTTTGTACCTTCAATTTTAGTTATTCTTTATGTTTTGATTTTTGTGATTGTTGAACTAATTCGGCTTACTTTTGGTGCTTGAGTAGGATTATAATTGTACCGTGGAGTTCTTTGTAGCTCCTTTCTTAGTCCAAGAATGGGAAGTCAAAGACAAGAATGGAACAACCAAGGAAACTCTTCGACTTGATCTCGTGGTTAATGACTCCAAACACTTTAAGAGTGCCGACATTGTAATTTTTAATACCGGGCATTGGTGGACGCATGAGAAGACATCAAAGGGGTACCTCTAATTGCTCTTTCTCTCATCATAATTATATATTGTCCCTTTTCACTTGAGGTTGAATGTGTTTGATTTTGAATGGCAGGGAAGATTATTACCAAGAAGGCAGCAATGTCTACAAGCAATTGGATGTTCAGGAGGCGTTTCGAAAAGCTATAACAACTTGGGGTAGATGGATCGACAACAATGTTGATCCTCAAAAGACGCATGTCTTCTTTCGCGGCTATTCCAGTACACATTTCAGGTCTGTTTGAACCCACATTCACAGTATGCAATGTACTCTTGTTCTTGTATTTGATGGTATAACCGCTCATTTTATTCATGATGGTAATGTTTGACAGAAAAATTGGCAAGCACTTACCCCTTTCTATTACTATGGATTGTGTGCATTTTCGAGTTAGGCCATTTGTATATTCATAGAACATGTTATATTATGATCATAGGTATACAATAGTAGACGCTTACAACACATACATGTTAGTCAAATGAAGAGAAACCAATAGGCATACCCCTAGGTCAAATTCTTATGGGTTGAAACTTAGGCAATTAAAAGTGTCTAAACTTGATGATAAATTAAAAGGGTTACCTCTTGACTGGGTTTTGCCTCATTTAGGTCTTGTAATCAGCAACTGAAAAGAAAAAAATTAATACTCACCTTAATTACCATGACTTACTAGTGAAAATTTACTTACGCATGCCTTGTTCTCTGCAACTAATAAAAAGTTTTTATCGACATTAACCAATTTTGATGAATTTTGTAATAACTAATAAGTGAGTTATGATTTCAGATTCTGCTAGAAAAGTCCTATTTAGAAATCAGTGTAAATCTGTATTATAATCAGTCCATTTGAGTAGGTGAAGTGAACAAGCTAACATTTTAATTATAGCTCGTTCACATATTTGAAGTTTGGAACCTTAGTTTGGTATAATTTATATGAATTTTATGACAAATTCTCTAATGGTATATCAATGTCACGTCTTATCAATGTATTTTATTTACGATGTATTTTTCCCCATATAGAACATGAAAAGAAAAAGCTAACCAATTATGTTTCCTCTTTCTGATTGCAGAGGTGGGCAATGGAATTCTGGGGGGCAATGTGACAGCGAGACCGAACCTATTACAAATGACACTTACCTAGAGAAATACCCATGGAAAATGAAAGTTTTTGAGACGGTAATGAGGGGCATGAAAACCCCTATATCCTACCTAAATATCACGAAATTGACAGATTACAGGAAGGATGCACACCCATCAGTCTACCGGAAGCAACGCCTCTCCACAGAAGAGAAAAAAACACCATTGAAATTTCAAGACTGCAGTCATTGGTGTCTTCCTGGAGTTCCGGACTCATGGAACGAGCTTCTTTATGCTGAAATGGTAAGAAGGCGATACCAAGAACAACAACAAAAAAACAAAACTTAAGCCAGTACAACACAGGCCTCCTACGTTTTTGTTCGCCCAGTCGCCATGATTAAGTTGCACGAACGAATCCAAGAGTTTTGCCTGTGATTATTTCCATTTCAGGTAAATACTTTCATTTTATCCTGTTTTAATAGATAAATTATTTATGAAATACAAAGATGAGAGAAGTAAATAGGTCCCCTTGTACTACTAGCTCTTTGTTAGGGAAATTGCTAAATTCACTCTCAAAAACATCTTTTACACTCGCTCGGTAAAATTCACAATTTAGTGTTCGGGCTAGGTGGAGTGTAAGAAGTGATTTTGGGAGTGGAAATAGAAATTCCCTTTATGAAAGTATTTGGCCAATTTGTGTCGGTGATTTAAAAGATGCAGTTGGCAATTTTGGTGACGTTGACAAATCGTGTAATTTATTGTTATCTCCAAAAGCATAGAATATACGTATGTACATTATGATTGCTTTAGTTTGTTCATCATTAATAAAGTGTTTCAAGTGTAGTATTTAAGTATTTTTGCCTCATTCTCTTTGGTATCGGCAATTTTCTATTATATACCCGAGTATATTGTATTTAGGCTGTAGGCTTATTTATAGCCGTTTCCGCATTTACGAGGATTCTACATAAGCATAAGAGCAAAACGCAGGTAAATTTCTATTATATACCCGATTGTACTGTATTTAGGCTTTAGGCTTATTTATAGCCGTTTCCGCATTTATGAGGATTCTAAATAAGCGTAAGAGCAAAAGGCAGGTAAATTTCTATTATATACCCGAGTGTACTGTATTTAGGCTTTAGGCTTATTTATAACCGTTTCCGCATTTACGAGGATTCTACATAAGCATAAGAGCAAAAGGCAGTTGATTCTCGCTTGCTTGTGATTGACATCGTGAAAATTGAATTCTGTTGCCTCAACTTTTGTAAATTATGATAGATTGGCAAAAGAATGTTATGGACAGGCAACATGTGATGTAAGGTTTTCAGAATCTGGCTTTAATCATGTTGTAAAGATAGTTCAAGGTTCGTCAAAAAAAAAAAAGAAAAAAAAAAAAGATAGTTCAAGGCATTTATTACTAAGTTTAGACTGATATGTGCAAATATGTACTGTGTTTCAACATGATTGTGATTTTTTTCTTCTTTGTTTTGACTTTTGCCTTTATTTTTTTGGTATATTTCAAGTTGATTGGCGCAATCAATCACTCTCTATTAAATTTGATTCTTCCACTTAAAATTTTGTTTATATTTTGTCGGCATAAAATGCATAGACCAAACAAAAGGGAAATCAGTGGTAGACCATGAGCTAAAATTCTGTACAAAATTCCACCATTTACGTTTATATTTTTTAAAACTATATTAATATTGATTTCCCTTGTTTAAAATTCTACTGGTATATATTTTGTTTATATAAGGAAAATGATAAACATACCTCTAAGCTCTCTAAGGGTTATTCATAAGAAGCTAAAAAGAAAATATGAAGGATAAATTAACATTAACTAGCCTTCTGGCCCGTGCAATGCACGGTTTATTAATATGTATACAATATGTATAATTATTTTTTAATATATTTATATTGGCAAATGAATAGTTTATAGAAGAGAAGAAGTGAAGATTAAATGCAATTGTAGTAGAAATTAAACTGGAGGAAAGTGAACTAAACAACCTTCAATCATTATACATGTATTGAATTAAAGTTTTTTTTTCATAAGAGAAAAGGGATTAAAAAAAAGAAAGATTAAATGAGGTGACATGTGGCATTGGAGAAAAAAAAAATGAAATATACATGTGGCATTATAAGGATGATGTTTTTGTTTTTAAATACTAAGTATAGAATATAATGATTTGTGCGTGATTTTGTTATGAATTTCTAAGTTAATTCTATTTTAAGAATTATACTTAATATTTATATATAGCCTTAACGGCTACATATATCATTACCCTTGTATTATAACTAATAACTTGAAATATCTGTATAAAATCTTTACTCCCTTTGTATTTTAATATGGAGTAAGTGTTAAGCTTTGACCGTCACATAGTTTTTTACGATTTGATTGACTTGATTGACTTAAATAAAATAAGAGGTAAGTAGGGTAGTTTCGGTATTAAAAAATTGTAAAAGAAATAAAGTGGGGTAAATTGTTTATTGAAAAGTAATGAGCATAAGAGGAAATAATTTTTTTTTTTTAAAGTAGCAATGGGTTTGAATGAGGACCTTAAAGGAGAAATATATAATATTAAAATGTAAGTTTTTCACAAAAAAAAAAAAAAAAAAATAATAATAATAATAATAATAATAATGTGCTACACGCCTACACTTACTGAAACACCGCCACATCTGACAAATGTAACTCTTATTTGTTTAGGAGTTATTAAATAGAATCTTAGCAAGTCCTAAGAACCTATTCAAGATGGGCACACCTACAGCAGAATGGATCGAGTTATTCGAGTAAACATCCCGGAAACACCTTAAAATGTGACCATAAAAGCAAGCATGGCCACCAAATTTAAATGCACATCATGTGATTATGTGGAAGATTACGGAGTACCATTTTTAATTTTGTTTATTTATTGGCTTAGTATGTGGGTTAAGAGTTGAGACTTAAGACTTGTGTACTTTACTAACGAACTACTCCATACTATTATAACCTCCAAATGATAACGTCTAAGGGTCTGTCCTCTTACGTTGAAATTCAATTTAATTCAATTCAGTTCAGTTCAGCTTAGTTCAGTTCAATTCAGCTCAGTTCAGTTCAATTCAGTTCAGTTCTGCTCCTAATTTTCTTCTCTTTTAAAATATTAAGTTCAGTTCAGCTCAGCTCAGTTCAGTTCAGCTCAGCTTAGCTCAGTTTAGTTCAGCTGAGTTCAGTCAATGAGAACAGGCCCTAAGTACATTAGAATTATTGCATAAAAGAAAACGTACATTAGAGTTAGAGCACATATAAGGAACTTGTAATAAGCTTTTATCAATTCTCTTTGAAATAATGGTGACATTTTGACATTTTTTTTATTAAGGTTGGACATACTTCTTTAATCATTAATATCTTAATTATCTTCTTAGAATTAAATGCTCACAAAATTAGAATGAGACGTAATTGTAGATGTTATATGAGTCAACTTACTTTATCACGTGTCAAATTGTCAATGTACTTGGTAACCGCATGAAGTGGTGAAGTTGACATAATAACGATTATAAACGAGGGATAAAGGGCTTGTTCTGATTTATTGAGCTGAACTGAACTGAACTGAACTGATTGGAGCTAAACTGAATTGAATTGGACTGATTAAAGCTGAACTAAACAGAACTGAATTGTTTATGAGAAAAGGAAATTAGAAACTGAATTGATTGGAGCTGAACTAAACTAAACTGGACTGAAATTAAGGTGAAAAGAACAGGCCTAAAATAAGGAGCCCCCTCACAAGTCTCTTATAGAACTTGTTAACCATTCATAGATCAATAAAGACAACCATGAACAAGAAAAGGTAAAGTCAACAACGATTTGATCCATTTAAGTTACACCATATTCTTAATCCATGAGACTACTAATTCCATACAATCACGAGCATCAAGGAGGATTTGAGTTTGCTCATGCAAAAATGAATCATGAAGACAATTTCGTTTACATGGGCCTGTACCCAGTTCTCATTGCGACATAATTTCTCCCTTTTTTATCACAATGTTGGGGATTTTACGTTTCTCAATGCATATTTTATAACTTAAATATCTTAAAGGACTGTTCCAATTTACTGAAAACAACTAAGTTGAACTGGTTGGGGCTAAACTAAATTAAATATAGCTTAAATGAACTGTTTATGAGAGAAGAAAATTAGGAATTGAACTGAAGTGAATTGAACTGAACTGATTGGAGCTGAACTGAGCCCTAAGTTGTATTTTAGTAAAAATTAGGTTTTTTTTTTTTGTAAAAAAAAAATTGATACTAAATGACTGTTCTCTTCATATTATTTTCAGTTCTGTTCAGTTTAGTTCAATTCAGTTCAGCTACAATAAGTTCATTTCAGTTCTTATCTTAATTTCCTTCTCTCATAAAATATTCTGTTTAGTTCAGTTCAGCTCAGTTTATGCACATCAAATTTTAGTTAAATTCTTGAGAGTTACACACTTACACCTAAAACCAAGTTCCCTCCATTCCCCTACGCTATTATCCGTTATAGCTCTCTCTACACCCCAAATAGCCATGAAACCCAAGACAAAGTTTGAGTGAGAGTGACATAACTAGCATATTCTTGGTTGCATGCTTGTGCAGCTATAATAGTTGCAACAGCATTAAAACACACCTATTATAGTATGAAATGCAACCCAACTTGTTTTTCTTCATACTTTAGCTTACGTTCTTCCTGTGTTCTTCTTTCCTTTCTTAAATTTTTTGTATCTTTTTTCATCTTCTCTCTCTTCACTTTTCTAACCTATAATAATTTTAACCAAAATTTTATCAAAATTTTGATCATAGTTTTGATCAAAAAAAATTTCTCTTCTGTTTTTCCTCTTTCGTTCTTCAATTTCTCTCTCTTATGTTTTCTTTAGTTTTCTCTTTTGTTTCACTTTTTTTGATTAATTTTGTTGCTTACTATGGAATTAGTTGTTATTCCCAAAGAGATCGTCAATGCAAGTTAGTGTTTTGTTTTGTTAATTTGTAATTATTATATTCAATTGTAATTGTTAATTGTACTGTATTTTGTTTAAAAACTATCAATTTGATCATGAATGAATTTCGATTTGTTATGTGGTGATTTTGTAATGAATTTTGATCAATTTGATTAGGTTTGTGAACATGTCATTCATATGAGTTGAATTTATGTCCTTTATTATGAACATAATAAAATTGAAGGAATAATAAACAAAATGATTATGAAACATACGCGTTATAAGTATTAAAAATATGAACATATGCGATGAAAATATGCATTTTAAAAAATGAACATACGCATTCCAAAAATGAATATATGCATTGAAAATATGAATATATGCATTTTAGAAAATGAACATACGCATCCAAAATATGAAAATATGCATTGGTTCATTTTTTGAATGCATATGAACATAACATATGCATTTCTGAAGGTGAACACATACATAAAAAAAATATCAACATATGAATTTCATAAAGTGAACATATGCATTTCAGAAAGTTTGGATAAGCATTCAAAATATATACATAAGCATTTAAGAAAAGTGAACATATACGTAAAAAATATGAATATGTACGTTTCAGGAAGTGAACATAAGCATTCAACATATAAACATGAGCATAAACAAACAAAATGATAACATTTTATGATTATTAAGAATATTTATCATATGAACAAAAAAATATTAATATTATGAACATCTTAAAACACTTTATGAACATAAGGTATTCGTTTGATTTCACTAAATTTTTTAACAATCCCTATAAAAATTTCGAACAACAGAGTATCGAATTACATTCAAATAAAATTAAATGATATTCATATAAATTCAAACAAAACTAAGTGATATTACATAACGTTATTTTTTTTTGGGAGAATCCGTTTGATTTTTCATCTCATCTCGAATATCCATGGTTGTTTTTTAGGATAGAAGGTGAATTGTGTTTGATTGTTAGAGAGAGAAAATCAAGAAGTAATAAATATAAGAAATTTTCTAATTAAAAAAAAAAAACCAAAATTTAAGTTTGAAAGTGACGTTTAATATATATATATATAATAGCTGTTGAAAGTGACGGTTTTGAATAAATGACGATTGGGTAGGCTGCTTTTTAAAGATATGTTTAGTTTTATGGGTTGGTTGATTATAGTTGGGGCTTTTTAATAGGGCGTGTTTAAATTTGGGCTTGTGAACTGGTGTTGCAGCTAAAATGGACACAAGGGTGTAGCTTGGACTAATTGGACATAACCTAAAGGCTAAATATGTGGGCTTGCTGGTATTATAATTTTGCTGGACATGTTTGTGGGTTTCTGATGGGCTTGGACAACTGACATAAGGCCTCGATGGGTTAGGTGATAACCATCAAGTGGAAGTGGCAGATCTGCTGGACTTTGACTTTG